AGAAACACCTGCTTTGAGGAGGTGTTCTCTTGTGGGAAAATATAAATAAATAACTGAAATACTTGTGATCTCAGCAAACTGGCTGTGGTTTAATTCACAGAGAAACATAGAACTGTTTTCACAAAGCCTCTTGGTGCTGTCCAAGTGCAGTATATTTCCAGGTTTCCACAGCTCAGGAGCCCACCTGAGGATGCAGAGCTGCACATGTTGGATCTTTGCCATGTTAGGTAACTCATAAGGTAATGAACCATCCAGCAAAACCTAGATGGTGCTTAATTTTATTTCTTTTTTCTTTTCTGTTTTTTTTTTAAATTTTATTTTATTTTTTATTTTCTAATAGGAAATAATTGTATTCCTGCATGGAACACATTTAACACCACATTAAACATTAAAACAGGAAGACATCACTACACCCAGAACAACTATCTTTTCCTGCAATACAATTGCAAATACAGCACTGTATTTAAAGAAAGGGAAGGAAGGATTTTTAAATATATCTTTTAGTTTGTCTTGTTCACCACAAAAATATAATCTCTATCGTGAGGTTTTCTGTCTGCATTTCCCTGTAATACAGTTTCTCTTGGGGAATATTCCACAGTGTAACATATCTGTCATTGAGATTGTTCTTCAGATCATCAGTTTCATCTTGTTACGTCAATAAATGCATACACCTCTTGGACTGCTCCACATAGATTCCCTGCGTGCTTGGCTGAGTTTTCATCAACCTTCAGGAAAGCTTTCCTGCCCCTGTCTAAAATCTAGGCAACGTTCTGTAATGCATGTTATTGATTAGAATGGGGTATGTGCCATATCCTATGAGAAATCTATGAATGAATTCCACTCACTTAGAATAAACCACACTTGCTGCAGTGTGCAAGTGTAATATTTTGATCACAGACAAGGTGTTCTTGATACCTCACAGTACAGTCTTTTAGCGGCTAGATGGCACTATTGCCAGAGAGTAGAATCAGGTGTGATAGAAAATACCAAGCGAATTTACAGATTTGGTTTTCTTAGCAAGAGTCGTAACAGAAAGTAGCTTTCAGCTGCCTACTATATTGATTTAAATTTCAGAATTTGGTTTGTGCCATGTATGCTAAGTAACTCAGGAATATTTTCGTCCAGCTTTTTCTGTCTTCTCATAATGGCATAGCAACTCAGGCATGTTGTTCAGATCTCCCTTTAGCTAAGAGCTACAGAGAATGGCAAACTCATGGCAAAGTCACCTAAGGTTAAAGGAAGAACATGCGTGAAAGAGAAAGCTGACTAGATGGCATGCTGATCTTCTCTTCCTTCCTTTATCCACTTGTCTTTTCCCATGCACATCCTCTCCTCTCTCTTCTTAATTTCCCCCTTTGTGTCATTCATTGCAAGAAGAGACTGGGAAAGCACTGTCGAAGTGTCTGTCACTCCGCTGAGCTCTGTTCAGCTTGCATTGCCTTGTTTAGTGTTCAAAAGCAAATGTGATTTTCCTTATGCTGTTGCACCAACACCATAGATGTACTGGGTGCTGGTGCCCAGGCACTGGCGGCGGTGGCTGCAAGAGTGGCTTCTGTGAGGAGAGGCCGGGGCTGCTCCAGCAGACCCACTGCAGGGCACAGCTGAGCCCCTCAGCAAGTTGATGGCACCTCTGGGAAAGCATGTATAAGAAAGGGTAAAATGCTGCCTGGCAGCGAGCAGAGGGGGGGGAAAGTTGTGAGAAACAGCCTTTTGAGCACCAAGGTGAGAGCAGGAGGGGGGAGGAGGTGCTCAAGGTGCCCAAGCAGAGATTCTCCTGCAGCTGCTGGAGAGACCACGGTGGAGCAGGTATTTCCTGCAGCCCGTGGAGAGGGCCACCATGGAGCAGATACTCACACTGCAGCCTGTGGAGGACCCCATGCTGGAGTGGGTGGGTATTTCCTGAAGGAACTGCAGCCCCCGGAGAGCCCACACTGGAGCAGGTTTATCCTGAAGGACTGCAGCCCATGGAAGGACCCATGCTGGAGCAGGGGAACAGTGTGAGGGGGAAGGAGAAGCAGAGAGGAGCTGTTATGGACTGACCCCATAACCCACCATTCCCCATCCTCCTGCACCACTTGAGGAGGGAAGTAGAGGAGTCAGGAATGAAGGACTGAACTTGGACCTGGGAAGAAGTTGGGAGGGAGGTGAAATGGAAGGAGTTTTTAGTTTTGTTTTTATTTCTCACCATCCAAATTTTTAATAGTGATAAATTAAACTAATTTTCCCCAAGTCAAGTCTGGTTTGCCCATGATGATAGCAATTGCTAAGTTATCTTCCTGGCTTTACCTCAACTCACAAGCTTTTTCATCTTAATTTCCCCCCCATCCTGTTGAGGAGGGAGAGTGAGTGAGCGGCTGGGTGGGCATCTGGCAGCCAGCCAAGGTCAACCCACCACAAGAGAAAGGACTATTTTTGTCCTGTTCAGTGAGGTAATATTTTTTGGAGGCAGTCCATATTTCATTTAGCTATTCCCAGTAATAAATTGAAATTTTAAGAATTAGTTATGCTTCTAAATCTTTATTCCAGGAACTTATTTTATTGAACTCATCAGGCACAAAGTGCTTTTGAAAAGCAATAATTAATGTAAAACAAGTATTCAGGTGCTAAACCTAGGGCTTCCAAAATGACTGGTGATGCTAGATGTCTCTGTGTTCTTAATGCACATGCTGAGATTAAAGAGGATAAACACTCTAATAACTGCAGTCCTTAAACTCTCCTGAAGTTGGGTCCCTTAAATGGATTAATCATAATGTCTCTTAATGCCTAAAAATGTAGGCTTAGGCACACCTTAGCTTCTGATATTCACCTCTAAAAGTACATGTCAATCATTGCTCACTTTTCCTAATTTTTCTTCTTCTTTCCTGTAACTATCCAGAACTATTTTACTAAAAAAAAAAAAAAAAGGGGGGGGGGGATAGGGCACACAGGGCAAATAACCATTTCTTTTTCATAATGGACAACTGTTTCTTAAGGTATTCCCTGATTTCTCAGTTCTGTAAGTTGCTGAGGTGTTATCAGGAGTCTTCCAGCATGTGATTTTTTGCTTGACTTGGAAAGCCAGTAGATCATGTCTAGAATCCTAGCTGATGTTTCAAAATACAGTAAATGTCTTACATCACCAGAAATATTGAACAAAAAACCCCAAAACATGAAAAACCTTAGTCACTTTGCCACTCAGGATTTGGCGAGCATGATTCATGATATGTGAAAGTTTGATATTGATATTATGATTTCTTATTTTCCAAAATTCTTACTGCTAGAGAGATTTTTGAAGTAGTTTTCTTGGTCATTTTTGCCTCTTCCTGGCCCTTTTGTATAAATCACAATTTTCTCTTTTCACCTCATTATGGTTATAAAAGATTTTCTTGTTTCCTTTAACTGCTTTGGCTAGCATTAACTCATTCTGTTGTTTTGCTTCTTTAGTGTTTTTCCCCTAGTGAAATTGTTAGACATGGCGTCCTTCAGGCCTTCTTGGAGTATAATCACTTAGACCTTCTTTATGTCCTGTATAATTGTTGAGTGGTAAAAGCCAAAATGAAATGAAATGCATCTGTGCTTTCACATAAATGCTTTTTAAAGTAGCCTTCCAGCTAAATGATGGGCTCCATTTATGTACTGTATGGAGTATTTATGTACTGCATACATTGGGCCAAATTTTTTGTGCTTCTGCTTGGGTTTGCTATGGCCCAGTCCTGCCAGCATTCTCCCAAAGGAGACATGCTTAACTTGTGTGTTTGAACAGCTGAGCTGAGAAGAGGGGATGCTACTTCCCACAGTGTTTGAGGCACCACCACAATGGCAATGGATGTGTAGACAGGATCATGTCGTCAGTCTAATTCCACATCCCAGTAAACTCCATGAGAAAATTCATGGCTGCATTTCTGCCCTTGGAGTATATACTGTATTCCTAGTGCTACTTTGGGAAAGCCTTTTATGAAGGCATAATACTCCCAGATTTTTATTTTTATCTGAGGACAATTGTGCCTTAGAGATGGTTTATTTGAAACCTTTGACCTGAATTCTAATCTGATTTAAGTTCATTTAAATTCAGAATAAGTCTGGCTTAACTCCAGTGTAAGTGAAGTACTAGTCCATGGCATAGCAATGGTGGTTCACAGAAATGCAAACAGCAGCTGGCTCTGTGTCCTTAGTTAATTTGATTATATTGTTTTAGTTTAACTTAAACAAAGTAATGACCTTATTATTATTTTAAGAAACATATTTCGAGAGGAGGGAATCATATTTCTTATATATATCCACTTTCAAATATCTTCTTCAGATGTACACGTTGCTAGAGATGGAGTTAGGTTTGTGTGTGGAGAGTAAAAGCATACTAGATTTCACTGATCACAGTTGCTTTAAATTATGCAGTGAAGAGAGACATGCTGTTTGCACATGAAGAAAACAAGGTTGGCAGCAGAGATCACAGAAGGGGCTTGCCTTTGTAGTTTCTCTCTTCTATAGACCAAGTACCAGGAGAAAGATTGGAGTGTCTTTGCAAGAACTATCTTAGGGGCCACATTTGGATAAGGTAACCATTAGAGAAAAAATCTTGGTTCGATGGTAGTAAGCATTCTTTTCATGATTTTCGTCTCAAGCACTATTCTTCTGAAGTTTTACAAGAAGCAATTCAAAATAAATGGTTGAATCCTGCTTTGCCTAAATGTAAATTAAGGTGAATCTCAGGGCTTTCTCCTCATATTATGAAATTTAGTAAGAGCTGAATACATTTTTTCAAATATTAAAATCATAGTTACATATGGTATTTTCTGATTTTTGCAGACATTTTCTGTATGTCCTATTTACCCTCTTACCCACTTTTCTCTCAAATTAAAGTCTGCTTTAAAATATCAGTGTTCAAAATCTTATAATCATCTTCAAAATTACAACAGGAGTAGGGGAATTGAGAACATTTTTCAATAACAGATCTTACTAACGCTAATATTTGCTATTGTACAGTTCCGTAATGTCTGCTATTTTATCTTTGTGTTTTGTCACAGGATGAAAAGGAGAAGTTGACATGGAGTGACCGTATGCCTGGATATGCAGCAAACTTTGGATTGATTTTATTTATGGTAATATAATCTGCATTTCTGCATATTTATTAGGTGTAAGGAACTTTGCAATGAGCATCTTGAGTGGAATCCTGAATTAGTGTTCTCAAAGATGCTAAAAATATGAAGGAAGGTAGGGTTATAACCTACAGTTTGTGAGAAACATATGTCCTACTAGGAAGACTTATAGAGCTCAATGCCTACCTCCAGCTTTGCTCTCAAAGGCTGTTTATGAGAGGGCTGTTGGCTGGATGACTTGCTGTAATGACAGCGGCTTGTTACTAGATGCTGTCTCTCCCACAGGGCTTCTGCTCCATCCTCCGTTATTTGATGAAGGGAAGCTCACTGTGTGTTTGCTTGTGTGCACAGTATGCTCTGTCAGAATGACGTTCAGAAGTGTTGAGCCTACTGAATAGATGACATACAGGTGAAATAAATCTGTTGCTGAGAAGTATGTGTCCAACACACATTCAGGGATGGACTATACTGTAGTCGAGGAAGACCATGGTATACAATCCTCACTTGAGAACAAGAATAAGGTATGCAGGTCAGCCAACTGTGAAGTGTGGACACCACTGTCCTAGCGAAATTTCCAACAGATCATAAACACACCATCAAGCGGCTAGACTTTGTAAACAGCAATAGGAAAGCCTGGCTAAGAAACCTTAAATTACATTGTCAAGGATCCCATTATCCCTCTGGTTACAGAAATTACTGAATGAAAGCATGTATTCACATGTAGAGCCAGTATAAAATGGCAATGAAATACGCTGGTTTACACCACAGGAGCATCTGGCATGGGAAATTTACTTAGGGACTACATTATTTTAAAATACCTAAGTGTATTTCTAATATACTGGAATTAGCATATGCTGCAACAGATGTCCTGTGAAGATTTAATTTATTTTTCTGACAGTCAAAAACATTTTATATTCACACTGAAGTCAAATTAATGTCTGCATTTTTATAAATATTTGTGTGTATATTTATGAAGATATACATATTGTATATTAAGTATATTTTCTGTACATATTAGGTGTGTCATTCAGATTTATGTCTATGTACTTAGAACATTTTGGGTGAGTTTATTGTCCTGAGGCCATACCAAGCATTTGCTTTTTAGACAGAACCTCTAACTGGCATCAGTTGGCACTTTGCTTAAAGCAGAGTATACTGACTATGACTAAGCATATAGCCCTGATTTAGCTTTTACAAGTCATCCTTTTGCAGACAAGGTGCTTACGCGTGCTCTTGACTTTAACCACGTTTAAATCTCCCCTAAGCATAAGCTTAAAGTGCTTTCCTGAGACATAGCCTATGTTTTACACTCCCTGCTTACTGTAACATCTCAGAGGTTTATAAAGGTAAAACGTAGAGCTCCAATTATTCAACTTCTGTTAGTGACTAGTGGAACTATGCTGGCTTTCACCATTTGGAGAAGTGGCCACAATGATTTTTTTAGAATATTTTGGGCATTAGTAAGATGTAAGCAGCTACAGGAGACAACTTACAAACCATGCATGAAATTCAAGTCAGCTCTTGATGAGGGAGAGCCAGCTCTGCTTTCCCATGTGGAGATTACAATCTACTCTTTACTGTATGTAATGTTTCTTTTTGTTTCTGCTAGATTAGTTAAACAGGAATTGGAAACACCAGACTAAAGTTTGCTGTCAGCTTGTGCAATAGAATTGCACTGAGGAAACTAAATTGGTCTCATCTACTTCCGTTATTATTATTCACACAGACTAATCTTTTTAGCTGTAAGCACCACATACATAATAGGTGATGAAATCTTGAATTTACCTGTGCGTGTGCACATATACAGCACACAGACATTGAAGACTCAGATACAGATATGCACATGCATGTGCTGCAATTTCTAGTGCTGCAGAAGTGATTGTTGAATTCTTAATACTACCTTTTCTAGGCCCAAAGGGTCTGGCGGCACAAACCCATAGGTATTTTCCATGAAGATGTCTACATTGCTATAGAATGCTGCTGCTGTGTTCTGTCCCTCCTTCCCTCAGCTTTACATGCCATACTTTCCCTGATGATTCTTGAAGCTGCTAACGGATTTCTTAGTGTAAAACCTTTTATCTTTATTTTTCATTTGCGTACTTCTTTTGTGTACTTCACTTTTGTGAATCCTCTCTCAAGAACTATGTTGTACTTTTTTCTTCCTGGCTTTTGTTCTGTCTTTATTAAGCTAGGTATGCTGTTTGTTTCTTTAAAAGTGTGGGTTGAAAAAAATGTTGGGTTTGGTTCTCTTGCCCAATCGGTCTTGGTGTTTTACACCACCAAATAATTCCAAGGATTATTTTGCACATTTACGGATGCTTTAAAATCTGGTCACAGCTCTTTTGTTTTACACAAAGCCTCACTTGACTGCAGAGGAGGCAGAAGATCCAACCTTGATTTAAGCAATATTTTTTACAGGGATTTTAGAACAGAAGTTCTCAAGTCTTATTTTTGCTCAGTAAGACCAGTGGTAGCAGGAGGTCTAGGGGGCATATACAAGCTTGGCTTGTGTGTGATTAGTAATAACGTATGTCATAGTTTAGAAACTCCACATTTAGAAGGTACATGTTGCGGCAAAGAGTATGTGATGAAAACATTGGTAGCTGCTTGAAGAGAGCAGGATGGCATGGAGCAATGCCATCACTGGAGCCTTTCTTTGGGTTCATTGCATTTGGCTCAGTCAGAGGAAGGAAGAAAACCGATTACTGTCATGGCACGAGAGTTCAGCCTGTTCCTTCTTTTGGACCCTATTGCCCTATTCTTACTCACATGGCATAATACTTGACTTTAGAATAGCCCCACTGGGGAGCCAAAGAATTATTTGGACATTAAATTGTTATCCCACTTGGATGAAGGTATCATTCTAGCCCATGGGGTTTTATAGCTTCCTTCTCAGATCTAGTATGCTTTCCTGTTTGTCTTCATTCATACGAGGCTCAGTAGGTGACCTTTTCTGCAGCCAATTTTCACATCTGTTTCTAAGCAATTCAGTCCTTGACAGACTAGTTTAGATATTCAGTGAAGAACTGTCTGCCATGGTAGGGGATGGAACTGACCAGATGAAAAGTTGACAATGACAACAAAACTCAAAGTAAGCACCTGAATGAAAGGTGACCATCTGAACTGGAATTTCGGCAAAAGAGGTATTGTAAGGAATGGGAGAAACGCTGTGAAGATACAGGAACCACTCCCTCTCAGTGACTGTCTGGGGAGTGAGAACTATGCTCTCAGTTACTGTGCAGTCCTATAAGCCCTCCTCAATTTTCTCTTGCTGGATGCACAGATAATGAAGACTCCTAAAGGAGTGTTTTTCCATCTGTGTCTAAACAGATGTTTAAAAACAGTTGGGCAGTTGAGGAGTTTCTGAAGCCCTGGTGCTTTTGCAAAACCAGTATCTTTGTTCTTTAAACAAATAAAATACATTTTTTGGGTAACTTTGTGTATCTTGCTATGGCCCTGCATGAATTGAAAAGGCCGCAACAGTGCAAGCCTCTGATAGTATCTCATCCTCCGGTAATATTCCTCATTGCTATGTATTCCTTAAATCCTTTGGTCAGGTTTAGGAGTTTGCTATTCAACTTCCATGACCTGAAATTTCCTCTTCCTCTATGTAGTGATGACTGTCCTTGATGACTCTTCTTCCTGTACTGTTAAGATATCATTTCTAAGTGGAAGCTTGTGATGGAGATAGGTGTCTGTGGAGGCCTAGAGAGCTTGTCATCTCCAGAATGATACATACAAGTTTACTTTGCTGTTGTCCACTTTCCTTGTCCACCTTCATAAAATTTCAACGTAAAAATTTCAAAGAAAACCACAGGGGAAAGAAACAGAAAAAGTATTTGGAAGGTGATTAAAAGGAAGGGATCTGTGGCCCAAACTAAGAAAAAGAAAAGAGCTTAAGGTGACTGTAGAGGTGGAAGGTGTATTAGATTACTGCCAGGTGGTGCTTTTTTGTTTTCTCTGTTGGGGGTATTACTCTCTACTGTAGTGATTGCTTCTGCAATGGGCAAGTTAAGTAAAAGTTCTGATCTTTGTGTTCCTGCACCACTTCTGTCACAGCAAGGGCTGAGCAGATAGTTCAACATGAATCAGATTTTTGTCTGCATGTTTGGTAAACAAGTCAAAAGAAAAAGATAAAAATAGGCAGAAAAATTAGAACTGTTTTCTCAACACAATGAAAACTACAAAATGAAAGGAAATAATATTTTATGCCATTTGAAATGTTTTCATTCAAAGTGTTTTATGTTTAGACTTTTTTCTTTAGACCAATATTTGAATGAAAAATACTAGCATGAAGCAAAAACTCATAATTCACATTTCATTTAAAATCAATAGAACATTTCTTTAAAAAGTCAAAATTAGATGTTTTACTAGATCTAACATTTTATTACTATTTTTGCACAAAACGTATTTGTGAATTTCATCTGGTATCTCCAGGAGTTTCTCCAAATTGGTTTTTTTTTTAGTAAGTTCACTAGTTCTCCATTAAAACTAAATGTGCCCAGTTTTCATCTTCAACCTTTAATATAGCTCTGATTCTTGTTCTGGTTCTTTTGCAATAGTACTTTTCCATAAGACAACTTTTTATACAGCAATTCAATAAACTATTGCTGGGTCATTAAAATGAACTGTTAAATTTCCTTAAACTTGTGTTGTGAATCTGGGCCCCTAGGCCCATTGAAATAATTGCAATAGTCTAATCTTTCACATTTAGGTAGTCTCTTTCATCTGAGGATCTCACGATGTTTTACTTAAAATAATGAATGTACGTTGGAATTCTTGCCAAAGGCAAATATGAAAGAGAAAAATGTACCCTCTCCCCCTTTCTTGCCATGGCTATGAAAATTTGTTGGGTTTTTATTGTTATTTTATTGATTTTTTTTCATTGTGGGGTGTTTTTTTTTTTTAAACCAGAATACCACAACCCTGTGAAATTCAAATTCTTCTTGTGGGAACTTGACCTTAAGTAGCAGGGCTGACTTTCCTCATCTCGTGGGTCAAAGCCAGCCCATGAAGGATGCCAGGATACCAACTGATTTCTGGGACAGAAATGTAAAGTGAAGCCCTAGTAACCCTGTTTAGGTCACTCTTAAAAGAATAATAACAAGGGAAACTTTTTTTTTTTTAAGTTGTGGCAAGAGTTGAGCAAACACAACCGGAGAGTAAGGTGCCACTTCTGCTGTGCGGAAGTGAAACTGTTTCAGCCAGTAAAGCCTATTTACTTGACTGCACATACATATAGGCCCTTCAGTCCAAGCCATCTGAACCTATTGCCAGATAAAAGACCTTGCTTAATACCTGCATTTGAACCCAAATTACCTGAGTTTCACCAGTACTGCATGAATAATGTGAGGAGCTTTAATCAGAGAGAACATGCACATCTTCAGGAACTGTTGTGCCAGTTCAGAGTTCGGCATCAATTTTCCTGTTATGTCCCTGTTAGAGAGTTTTGAATTCTCACATTTTAATTTGATTATCCCCGTATTATTGTTGCTCTAAGAAATAACCACACAATGCCAATTCGTGGAACAAACCCGACATCAGTCAAAGCTTCTGTTTAAATGCTGGTATCAAACTTGAACTAATCTGTCTGTACATTTTTTTGCAGATCATGCTGACGTTTTCAGCAGTGTTTGGTGTGATTGTATACCGAATCACAACAGCAGCAGCTTTGTCATTCAGCACAAATGAGACAACCAGGTCAAATGTTCGAGTGACTGTGACCGCAACTGCTGTCATCATTAACCTCGTTGTGATACTAATACTTGATGAAATTTATGGAGCTGTTGCCAAATGGCTAACAGAAATTGGTAAAACTATCTCACTACATTCCTCATTAGTACATTACATGTATTGACACGAGAGTATGCAAGGAGGTTCTAATAGGAATATTTCCCACTGAAGAGTGCCAGTGAAAATATTCAGGCCTATGGGGTAAGATGCTCAGACATGCCTCTGTGAACTAGCGGTCTGAGCCGCAACATGCAGTGTGCCACTAATAGGACTAATTAGCCTGGCCATAATGCCATGTTAACGCAGCTGTGCTATTTACAGGATCTCAGCTGGTATTTCTGCATTGCACTGGCTCTGTGCCAAGATCCACTTATCTAGAGCTGGTTGAGAATTTTTGACCTGGTATGTATTCTGATACATAACTTTACCTCTAGGAGCTTGGTTTACTGAAAGTCATTGGGTTGTTTCAAAGATGTTGCTGGCTCTAGCAAAGCTACACTGGCAAACGCTTACCATGTTATTTTGCTGATGTGATTTTTACCAGGTCCTTACCACTCAAAGGATTTTTTTGCCATTATAGGGGCATGTCTGGGCTGGACTTTTTAATAATAATACCGATTTCAGTTAGGGGTTGGATTTTTTTTTTTTTTTTAATGTCATATTGTTACAAGTCTGGCAATGTATTTAAGTCTTTTAAAGGCAGGTCATTCCTTTGACTGCTACAGGGGTTTAGGCTAGAGTTTTGTTTTGTTATATACATTAGGCCAAAGATGTTTACTAATAGGGCCCTAACATGAGATTCTTACAGCTGTCATTAAGTATTGTTTCCCATATTTTTATACATCACCTCTAATTCTAGATGCTTCGAAGTTTAGGAACACGAAGTCAATTATTCAAACACTGAAAATCAATCAGCAACCACAGATGCCTTTAACTGTAGCAAGTGCTATACCTGTCAGTTTTGGGCATCTAAACTTAGGCATCCAAATTAGAAACTTTTTGACAATTGAAGCCTGACTCAGTCATTTGAAATGGCAGATTCCCTCCCTTTAGAACATACAGTGATGTGAAGCTGGCTGGAACTAGCAGACTTCAGATTAAAAGCTTAGGAACTCTTAAGACCTGTGTTTCTTATTCTCACTTTCTCAAGATGCTTTCAAAGTCACAAGTGAAAACATCTCTTTTAGTCCTATTTTTTGAAGAACACCATAAACTAAAGTTTTGTAGCTGTCATAATAGAGGTCCAATCCTGAATTTTTGAAATATGGTCCTGTGGTTTTACCAGTAAGGATAGCCTGATAGTTTAGATTGAATTTGTAAAGTATTTGAAAGAAATGAAGACAAAGCAATTCAGTTTCACAAAATGCCACCATATGGGGTTAATTTGTTTGTTTATTTCTGTTTTGCATCAGGCTTTGGGCAGAATGTAGCAGGGTTACACAAATGCCCTCTGTTCTAGTGGCATAAGGAAGCTCAGACTTACTGTCCAGGCCAAAATTATACCCAGATTTTCAGCTTCCATATAACTGACAAGCTGCTAACTGTGTGTGACCTGATCAATTCTGTCCACTGCACCTGCCCAGGTAAGAAGGGCACAACTGTTAAGATATGACACTGCTATGTGGAAAAAGTAGGAAGAGATGAAGGTGAGTCTTCTCCTCTCTGGCAGTTTCTAGGCAAAAGTTGGGAAGTGCAAGCCACTGCCATTGCCTCTCTGGGGGAAGCACAGAAGGAAAATCTCTCCCTTCGAAATGTGCACCACTCTGAATTGTGAAAGAAACAAGAATTTCTTACTTGCTGATTATTGTCCCCCTATCACTTTGCATTTAATTCTAATCCTGCTATCTTTATTTAGGCAGCATTCCTAATTAACCATCAGATTTTTGTTTAAGAAGGGTCCAGTCTGAGTAATCTCTATTGCTACAAATTACATGAGTTAGAAAGTTCATTCAGGCAACTTTCTCCAGTGCTAGGCTCAGATGTCAAATGTAATCAAAATGTTAAAAAAAATTACAATTCATTCATGCTGATAAATGCTCCTAACCTTGTGAACTTTCATTTTGCTGAGCAGAGGAAATCGTACTTGTCTTTTCACACTGCAGTTAATTGACAAGCTGAGGAACAGACTTGGGCTGGAGGAACAGCTCTTGACAGCATAAGTTTCTATTCCAACCCCAAGTGCACCTGAATCTTTGTTCAAGTGAAAAATTACATCTGTAAGCACAAGAATAGTACCACTGATAGCAGTTGCATTCATCATAGGATCAAAGTAATGGATCTGCCTCAATACCTGCTGAATCAGTGCTTGGGGGTAAAAAAGTAGTAGTTTTGTTGTAATCAATACAGAGAGCTTGTACAGGATGCACTAGGACTCCACGCACCTCTTGTGGACCCAGCAAAGGGGGGCACTGATCCCCCCTTATCTCAGATCAGAGCAGCAAAAGTGCAGATTATATCCTGGTATTCTCAGGTTGAATAGGTCATCTTCACCACATCAGGTGGTGTCAGATGTGACTTACAGTTCATTTGCTCACTTGTAACTTCACTCAGGTCAAGGAAGAACCAGTTAAATGGGGACAAAATCAAAACTACTTGTGTTTGTGCCTCATGAAGGCAGCAATTCCTTCAGTGAGCTAAGGCCCATGCCACAGATAGCTCATTCTCTACCTGGAAAGTTTCAGCTGCCCAATTTTGGTGTAACAAGCTGCACAATGAACCATATATTATGAGTATATAATTTTTTCGGGGAAAGTTTTCTCTCTCACTAATGCATCTATTCGGGCTGGATGCATTTCTTGTGTTGCAGAATCCACTAGCTAGAGGACGAATTCTATGCATGCCTCTATTGGTATGGTATAGTATACCCAAGTGTGGGGAGGGAGTGAAGTGCTGAGCGAGTCTCTGGAACCATATATGGTGTGCAAATTTTCATCCAGAGGCTGAGCTCATCTTTGTGGGAATTCTCCGTAAGGCAAAGGCTAGGATTTTTCTCCCTCAAATTAAAAGCTGCACCGCTGTTATTCGATATTCCTGTTGCCCTGAGCTGTTGTCCTGAGGATCTATCCAGCATATGGGGTCATCTACAAATTGTTCAAATCCTTTGAAGGTTTAATTAAGCTTTTCTATACATATAGGTGAATGATGGCTTAGGGCTCATCAGATTGTGTGTTGACCTTTTATGAAAATATGGCTGAAAGTATTACAAATAAATCTGGGCAGTGGGGAGTCATTACAGTTTTGCTATTCCTTTAGTGCTCAAATAAACACCATGCTTCTTTTTTAAGAAAAAACCCCAAAGCAACCAAAACACCCAAATTGTGCCCCAAAACAAAACTGTACAAGTACAGCAGTATTTTTAATGAAGTCCTTAAAGCCGGAGCTCTGGATCTACCTTATTATTTCACACTTACATTGTGCTACAGAAATTCAGTCAAGAACATACCACAATAAAATTATCTGCTCTCACATTTGCTAGCAGCTCAGGATGAGCATGGCAATACAAGAGTTTAACCCATATAGAATCTTCAACAGAGGATCCTACTGTCAATTTGATAAGCCTCTGTCTTATACCTATGTGTTCTGTTGCTAGAAAATTTCCATGGAAATTGGAAATAAATCTGGGAACAGAGTAATGAATACTGAAAATGTTTAAGACACATTTTTACAAGTTATCTAAAGATGTCTAGAAATGTAGAATATATATAGTGAGTGGAGAAACATTAGCAAAAATGTGCATTTATTTTGCATGGCAATTAACAATTCACTTAATGCCTTATTCAGAAAGGTACTTAGTGTTGTGTTTAGCATTAAGCACATTAATAATCTCATTATAGAAAAAAAGGCTTGTGCACACAAAGTTAAGAAGGATTTTAAGGCGTTTTTTCCAGATGAAAGTCTTTTACTTTGCTTTCATCATTCATGAATTGAGAATATTAATGTTTTGTTATTTCAGTTGTGTAACTGATATACTGATGTATGTTAATATACATATGCTTGTATACATTAAAGCTGCTTATACTGCTTTAGCTTTATGCAATTGAATATCAAGATCCAATTATTTTTTTCTTCAAACTCCAGATAGGTAGTAGGAGAACCATGTAAATATATAATAATTATTTATATTTATTATTATTATTAATATATTACGTTAATAAAATATATTTAACGATAGTCTATATTTAATAATATAATAGATGTCAGAGTAAATGACAGAGGAGTTCTGTGCTAAGACTTCACAGATGTGGCCTGAAGCAGAGGAAGGTGATGCGGTCTGCCTAGGCCTCTCAGCAAGGCAATGAAAGAGACTGGAAAAGTGAGGTATTGTCAGGTCCAGGCCAGGTGTCAAGATCTGTTGGACTTTTTGCCACCAGCGTATTGGATAGACAGACAAGAGCAACTTGGGATAAGCTGTCAGAGGTCTATCAGAGAATCAAGTTCATTATGTTGTCATTATTAATGCTTCTATGAAAGAATCTTCAATTTCCATCTGGAAATTTGGAAAGAATCTCTGGAAATCGGGAGTCAGTCACAGAGCTAGTGTGCATTGGTACAATTAAAAGTACAAAAGAAAAAACAGTATAAGCTCAATGTTTGCAGTTTGGTTTTGTATTTGGGGATATCAGGGATGTTTACGTATTTACTAATTGATTTCTCTGGTTTGTTTCCCCCTCGCTCCAAAGAGGTACCAAAAACAGAGAAAACCTTTGAGGAGAGACTGATTTTGAAGGCATTCCTCCTGAAGTTTGTGAATTCTTATGCACCAATTTTTTATGTTGCCTTTTTTAAAGGAAGGTAGGATAAATGTCCTTTACTTATAGATATTTATGTGTATAGATATTTATGTGTATGTATGTCTATATTAGTGGATCTGTGTTTAAAGATGGGCACAAAGGGCTACCTAACTAAGTTCGGGACTGGCCACTTTCACCAGCTATGAAAAAATATCATAAACAGGGAGGGTTGTCTAAAGCTTGCTTTTGAATGTCAGGGCATGATGTTGAGTACTGTCCTGTCTCTCTTCTAAGAAGATCATTGTTCTGAAAAGCAACCATTTTAGTTTTCTTTCTAAAATAAGAATAATCCACACCTCAGAAAATAATTCCTTTTAGTTAAAAAGGGTGTTGCATTTATGAGTGAATGGTAGTGCTTACAAGTCTTCATTTTCCACATTTTAGCAAATTTTTCTTGTAGCATCATTTAGCAAAGAAATATTTTCTTGTTTCATTTAAAATTATGGAACTACTTGCTCTTTTACTTTCTCAATGTTTTGCACTATTCGCCCGTATCAAGTTAAATTGAGAAATAGTTATAGTCAACTGGAAGTTGCATGTTTTGGCAAATGAACTGATTGACCAAAAAGCTAATTCAGCTGTCCTGCTAAATAAGTGTGACTTCCTATGGGTTCAGGATCATTGTCTTTTGGGACCCAGTTATCCACAGTATAACACATGCTTTTGAATGGGAAGCTTAAAATGATTACTTGCTCAAACTTTGGCAAAAATGTTTAAAACATTTTGGATTCTGTTTCATACCATTTTTCTGTTCCTTTTGGAGGCTGTAAAGTTTGTTAATCTGTACTCGTCACTGATCCTATTCAACATCATTGATTTAAGAATTAATGATACATTTTACCAGCAGTTGTAAATATTGTAAGACATTAATGAAAAATATCACTGATTTCTTTCTTTTTTAACCTTTTTTTTTTTGTGTTGTATGGTTATAATAAAGTCAATCTCACTGTTTCTCCCCATATAGTCAGAAGAGCCTTGACTGTAAAAATAACTCCATTCAGGGCATTACTGAGATGCAGGAGAATGTGAGTTAGGATATATGTTCCCAGTTTTGTTTGTGATCTCTAATCAAGAGAGGGAGATTATTATTACTTTTTAGCACAGAAAAATATTTCATTAAAATTATTTCATCAAGATGTAGCAGAAAAACATTTGTAGATACTTACTACTTTGAAATAACTTTAAATAATCAAAGTTGAATAGGTGTAGAGTCTTAAAATTCATGTTGAAGTAGCTAGTTCTGAAATATTTTAGCTAATATGAATGAACAGTTATGCTGTTAAAATTAACTTTTTTCCTATTTTTATATTATTTCATGTATTGTTATTGCTTTCAGATTTGTTGGTCATCCTGGTCATTATGTATATGTGTTTGAGGGTTATCGAATTCAAGAGGTAAGTACATCTGAACTTCAAACAAAAAAATCCTTAACAGAAAGAGGTATGTATACAGTATATTTCAGGGGAGTCTAGACAATAAGGGAAAAGTAGAAAACATATTAAAACAAGATGTTAAATCTTCAACATAAATAGACAAGCCCCAAATTTTCCATCTGAGGCACCTGTATGTTCTTTCTTTCTGCAGTTTTGAGTATTTCATGGTCTTTCTTAGGTGAAGCTTCACCATTTCTATGCTTTACAACTGAGCCTAGCAATTTTAATAGCCTAAAAAGCTATAGCCATTTTGTGCTAAACCTGTAAACATTTTTTATTTTTTTTCAAAATTCCTTTTAACTGCTGCGGGTATTCCCTTGAAAATCGATAGAGGTACTCAAGGTTTTACAGTAAAGGTTATGCATAAGTCTTTGCAATATTGAAGACTTTCTTACCCCTTGGGAGACATCAGGTTGGAAGAGTATTGGTGATACTGCATTATGTTTATTACATTGATTATATAGTAAATATTTTAAAAAGAAATATAGTAGCCCCAGGGCACACTAAGTTATTTCAGAGCTCTGCATATTTTCCATAATGCAGTTTTATGAGTAGAGATGAAATACCTTGTTAAGCATAGAATTGCAATGATCAACAAGCTCCGCGCTCCTGCACAAATTGGTGGCAGGGGCGATGGGCACATATAGACATCGGTAGCTCTCCCAAGTGGGTACTTTTAAATTAATTCTCTTACTCCCTTCACACTCTATGGTTTTGTTTAATTACAGTGTGCTCCAGGAGGCTGTTTGATGGAACTCTGTATTCAGCTGAGCATCATTATGCTTGGAAAACAACTGATTCAAAACAATCTGTTTGAAATTGGAATCCCGTATGTATCTCAGCCTTCTCCATTACCATGCATTATTCCTATGACACAGTAAATTAAAGACTTGATCCTTATTCAACAGAATGGGACTTTTGCCACTGCCTTCAGTGGGTTCTAATTGAATGTGATGATAAATCACATTTTTGGTTGCGATGAAATGATCTGGCTGTATTTTATGTTGAATAATTGGCTATATCTGCAGTAAATGGCTTAAAGAAAGTGATTGAATATATTAAATAATTGATCTAAATTAATTTTAGAAACCTGGGAAAACAGGCAAGGTATGATAGATCTCTTGGGAAGTTTTAGAGAAGCTTTCAGGGTAGCAGTATTGAATACAAATTAGTATAAAGTGGAGGAGAGATGGCGTGGAGAAAAGCAATAGCTCATAAAAGATGTTAAAATGTATTACTTGATCTATGACTATTTTATGGGTTTATAGATGAAGTCCACACATTTCTAAGGTGCCTGTATGTCAGTATGATGCAGGAGCTAGAGTATGGGAGAGATGCTGACATGCTACTCAGTGGCTCTCTGCCACAGGATGCTTAGTGCACTGTGTCCTCTGCTCAAAATACAGCAAGAAATCTCTCTTGGTCTGTCTCCAGTGTCAAGGGGATCTTCAGGCACTGAGAATCCACTAAGAATGTCCTGCTCCTGCCTCTTGTGAGGTTTGCTCTTGTTTCTCTTAACTGAGTCATCCTTGGTGGCAGTGGTCTGTGAAATGTTGTATAAGATGAAGAATCTGGCTTAGACACAAGCCTTGACTCCACTGAAGTTAGTCAGAATCTTTCAACTCTGGTGTCAGTAGCTTTTGGATCACAACCCTAAGGAAGGCCTTGAAGATGCTAACTAGAAACCAAGATGAGTGATGCTTAAAAGATTATGAAATATTTTTAAAATGAGCCCTTTTCCTCCCTTTTCCTAGTAAGAACTTTTTTTTTGGAAGTAATTTAAGTAGAGAGAGAAAAAAAAAATTCCCAAACAAATCAAATGTGAGTTATGGATGGTTTCATTACTCTTGTGTCAAAGTTCAATAGGGAGGCCTGTTTTCTGTCTACATCTCATTGAGTTTACAGTTTATTTTGAGAAAAAGGTAGTAAATCATCCCCAAAATATCTGATATGTTGAAGGCTTAAAGCTTTCTCAGTGTAAACCTAGTGTGATTTTTTTCCTGTCTTCCAAAAACTTACTGCTACTGGACTTTTTTAATGGGGATTTTATGATGTTAGAAATACAGTATTTATTATTTTTGACTCATGAAAGCAGAGGCTGATCCAGTCCAAACTGAAAATTCCTGTCAAATTATTTCTCAATTCCCTCACTACAACTCTTCGTGCAAGAATGTAACAATTTCATCCCATTTTTCTCCCTCGTTTCTGCTCCCCCATCCTTCTGTCAACAACCTATGGTGGCCTCAATTTTTAAAACTGAATAACTGTTTAAAAACAAACATACTTTCATCCTCTCCTTCCCAGAGAAATACCTCATTTCAGTCACAATACTATCTTGTCATCCTGAAATAAGCACATCTGGTTTTCCTTTGCTTGTCTGCATTCTCAAGTAAATCACGTGTATATCTGTAGGGCTCGGCCCTTCTCACTGGACCTGATTGCACCAGGAGAAGCACAGTGCTTTACCGAACACTTAAGTTAATTACATCAGAGTTAGCCTTCTATTTCTGCATGGACCACTCTACTGGTTTGGACTAGATCCTTAACGGTACTCTATTCTACCTCATCTGCCCCACATACAAAGGCACACGGATACACTTTGAGTACCGATCAATCAGCTTTTCAGAAGGCTCTGCATTGGTCTGCTGGACACATATAAATCCAGACCAAAAGTGACTCCAAACATGCATGTGTTGCACAAGTAGTAGTTCTGGCATGTCTGTGTCTCACATGTAATCTACTATGTCTATACATGCTGTTAGGAGATGTGACAGATGTATAGATAAACATACGCTTGCTCTCTGCCCTCCAGCCTTCTCGTCTGGCTTCCTACTGTATCCTATTCTTTTTGTTCTGCTACCTGTTTTCCTTGGTAATCTCTTACAGTCAGCTCATCTCCTCTGTTAGATCATCCTTTTTCTACCAATAATTTTTTTGTTTTCCTTCCCAGGATATCTCTGTCTTCATCAGGCCCTTGTTTTATTTTCCAGTGTCTACTTTTGCACAGGCTACACACTGTGATGAACAGTCCTCCTGCGGCAGAAAGATAGATCGATCATGTCTATCTCCAGTTTCAGCAGCTGCATTTTTTTTTCCCCTTGCCTTGTGCCTCTTTGGAGGGAATGAGTGTCAGAGTGAATAACAGGTTCTTCCATTGGGCCCCTGTATTTTCACTGAGGGCAGAGTACAAGTGCTGCAATCAACCTTACCCATATGGAGAGGCAGAAGGGACTATCATAAATGGTGATTTGTTCTTCAGAATCTGGAACTGTCCTCTGTATGTCTGTAACATGGAATTATCTCTCTGCTAAGTTATATGATGACCCAGATCAAAAGAGTTTTCTTCCTTATTGAAATCTCAGGATTTCAGGATTATTTTCTGAAAACCTTTTGATTTCATTCACCGTAAAACCCAAGGCATTTTAATTGCTTTGCAGAAGATCACAAAGCCTTACTCCCATTTGC